TGGAGATAGAGTAAGGAGAATCACTGCCAAGATTGGATTGGGTTCCACTTCAGTCTTTCATACTACCTCTTGGCATCTCCTACTAAAGTGATCGCAAAACAACGACACTTTGCCAAGTCAAAGACCTAATGTAATTCCATCAAGTTGTTGAAGGAATCCAGATGGTCTTTGGGATCTTCTTTCCTATTGAACTTATTCTCTAGCGCCCTAAATCTTTGGGGAAGCGATGCCTAACGGATTTTCTCCATGAATGGAGAGCTTACTGTCTCTTCTGCCGAATTATTTTGGCAGGCTCTCAAATCATTGATCATACTTTACATGTAATCCAAATCCTCATTATGAGGAGGATTTCGCTTGCGAGCTTTGTTCAATCTTACCTTCAGCAGATGGGCCCAGAGATTGGTCGCTTGTGATCCTATTCCATCTTGCACACTAGTACGTGAGGTGGAGTCATGATGGTTGGGAGAGTAGATGTTGTCATGTTCCTAGGTGCATTATTCGTGACGTTGGTTAAAACCGGAACATCAGTTATTACTAGATTGGTATGCATGGCTAACCTTGCATACTTGCAAGATTTGAGCTTGCCTTTGGCATGGGTTGAAACCGGCATGCTGGTGTTGGACATTTCATTGATTAGGATGAGAGTCCCTCTAACGACCATTATTTTAAAATTTTCCCCCATGGGCTGCTTGCCTGGTCACCGCCTAGGATTAGCTTGTCCCTAGGATTCACGCTTATGAGCGGAATGTGCCCTTTGATATCGGGAGTGACAGTTTCTCCTTGCTGCTGACGAGCCAGATTGGTCTCTAGTAGAATTATTCTACCTAGTGGGTGTAGGCTTTGTAAAGTGTGGTTGATCGAGGTTCTAGTTGGCCTGCTGCTCGTTCCTCAATTCGGCCACATTCTGTTGCACCACCTCTACAACTAGCGTCTTTATAATCTCCATCAACTAGCCATTTTCAGGGTTAGAGGTCCCTGCTCCCAGCTGTTTGATGACCTGTTGTGCCGGTGGTATTGGTGGTCGGCCTTGAGCAGTGGTCTGATTCACCTCTTGGTGGGTGGCTTCCACATTGTAGTGGTTTCTGGTGGTTGCTTTGGATCTCGTATGAGCCATTAGGGATTTCAAGTAATCGGTTGTTCACTAAAATTACTTATTTTTGCCAAAAATAGGAGAACTAGGCGGAGGCCATCCTTCTAGCACCAAAGGTTGATACGAAAATTTGTATCGACCTGAGAGAACATATCAATCTTGGCGAAATCAAAACGGATGTAACCCAAACCGATTTCACCCGACCGACTCAATCCGACCTGATTAGGTCGGGTTGAGATTGGGTGTAAGGGTAGTTTGGGCCCAATAATCTGGACTCGATTTTTTTTGAGTTTAGTTAGGTCGGGTCAAATCCGAACCCAAACTTGCCCACCCCTACTCATCATGGCTCATATTTGTTTAGTAGCTAGAGTGGATTTATTAACACCCTACAAATGGACTAAAAAGTGGGGTTTTTTTAGTGCATTACTAGAGTGCTAATAACTCCAGTCTCGTAGCTATTATAACTAGAGCTACAAACAAAACAAAAATATTCTGAAATTTTGTCCATATATAAGTCTGACATAGAACTAGTGGGTTACGGATCATTACTTTGAACAAAGGAAAATTTAGATAATTATCATGAAAAACCTTAGCGGAGCGATGTCCATTAATAATTACAAAGAGACACATAAGGCCAAATTTCGTGACTGCTGACTAGACATGCACAGGCACAACCATGAACGAACTCCATACTCCTCTAAGCCTCATGACCATGCAGATTAGTTCCACTAGATTCACTTATTACGATATTTTATATGTTAAATAGAATTGGCGTAAACCTTTCTCCTCGTCTCTAATTTTACAATCTAATTTATCAAAACCGGGGGCAATTCATGATAGAGATTTGATGTTACAGACATCAAAATCAACTGATGACTGATTATTATTTTCACCATCTGAATGTTAATTGGATATGGAGATACTAGTGTGATCCTGAATGTAAAAGGAACTCGGCCAAAGAGAGAAAATAAAGTGCATCTGTCAGCAACTACCAATTGAAGGCGCGAGGCGACGTTTGATTGGAATTCTGACCACTTGGGGGAAGCAAAGTAGATACCAGCAATTTTCAGAAATGGACAGTTGGACTCAATGGTTGAAAAATATACCTTTACGCTACCAATTAAAATTTCTATCACCGATCGACGATGTTGGTTGTCTCTTTTTGGAAGGGAAGATAACATATCATATACATTAGTGTAAGTTAAAATAGGTTGACTATCTTTCATTAATAAAGCTTCATATCTTTAATAGAAAGAAGGAAATCATTGGCTTTGTTATTGTCACCATAATCTTAACAATATATTTGGCTGTGTCATATTCTGTCCCGCATCAGTATCACTTCGAAATTTTTTAATTAAAAGAGATCTGTAGATTTGGCATGAGCCCAAAGTACTAAAGCGCGCAGTATATACAAGCCGGCCGATAGAGCTAAGAAAATTAATATATAACAGCCGATGATAAGCCAAATTAGGAATGAAAAGAAGAAGAAATTTGTTGTTTTATAAACATGTAAAAAGACATTGTCCTACATTCAAAGTGGGCAATTCTTTATCCGTTGCTGAACAAAAAGCAATACAAATTGAAAATAAGGACAATGGGAAATTGGTATAAACGGTTGTATGTTGTTTGATTAATTTATTGGGAAGACTTTCCAAAAACTTTTACAGATGAAGACCAGAGGGATGACTCAGCAAACAAGTTAATATTAGTAATGAAAAGAAATTGGCAGCACATTAGAAGGTCTAAACATGGATGCTCAAGTGGGACAGGGGGACAAATCTTCGTGTAATTTGAGGTAATGGGCCGGTTTGCACATGTTAAGAATAGTTAAAAGTATATTACATAAAAGGGCAGTAATCCACATATTGAGTTTGTCAGCTTCTAGTCGCCAACACCATTATTGAGTTTATAATTTAAAATCTTGGATATTTCCCGTGCATTTGCATTATATATATCGGGGTCTGATTGTTACTTATCATGCTACCTAGCTACTTCAGTCTTGTAAGCATAAGCAACTCAGATCCCTCCAGAATTATTACTTTGTTGAAAATATGGCTTATTCAACTTCTGTGCAAAGTTTGATACTGATCCTACTGATTTTATCGGTGGTTGTGACAAATTTGGAAGCGGTGCAAGGTTATCAAGGGCGTAAAGTTATGCAGAAAAGAATTGACAGTCGTTCCATTTTACGTGAATTAGGCTATAATTTGTCTAAATTGAAGTATAACAGGAGGGACTCAACAGGTAGAATTTCAACTGGAGGGCCGGATCCTCACCATAACTTTCAGCCAACGGCATTGCCCTAGATATCGTTCGAATGGAAAATGTGGTTGCAGGAATTGCTCAACGTACTTCTAGACATTAAAATTGCGTACAAAATGCAACTTCTTGATGCCATTTCTGTAATGGATAATTGGCTGCTAACTGGGTGGGAACCAGGTAGTGCAACCACCTAGAGGAATCTAAGTACCCTATTCAAATTGACTTGTGACAATATTCATGGGTTTAATTTCAAATTTACTGGTTATGTCAACTTCTATATATATATCCAGAGTTATAACGTTTAAACTTCAGTCAAGACATTTGCTGAAGTTGGTATGTTTATGTATTTCTTTTTTCCTATAAGAACTCATAAATTAATAAATGCATTTTCTTGTTTATGTATATATTGTGTCATTTTATTAGTCTTGAAGTCTCAAGTTTGTAGCAACATATGAAGTAAGCAATTGGGTACCTCTCCCCTGTGATCCGATGACAAACTCTTTTTGGCCATTAGAGTTAGCTATATTCAGGGGATTGTGTTCGAGTCGCAAAAGATATACCTACCATATTTGTATAATTACCTTAGTCCATTGAGTTTATAAGGTGTTTCGTAGCCCACAGAATTAAGCAGATTCCAATGTGAGCCTGGATACTTAAGATACCTACAAAAAAAAAAAAAAAAAAAAACAAAAAGTAGACAATTCACATGTGGCCAAAATGAGATTTAGTTTTTAGTAAAACAGTTGAATTAAGTCATTTTTATGTTATTCCGGTAGTATCTTAGTAAAAATAGTCATTTTAAAGCATTTTTAAGTAATGTATGTATCTAGTGTGCAACTTATTAATTAATTTTGAAGTTTCAAGTTATTATCAACAAATAAAATAATTAAGTAGTCAATGCACACATGGTATAGGTGAGATTGAGTCTTTAGTGAACTGATCTATCAAGTCATTTAAATGTGCTTCAATAATATCTTGCTTCATATAAATATTCATTTCAAAACGGTCAATTAATATATGTTTAAATAAATAGAAATAGGACATCTCCCAGTCTAATTTCATCAAGTTTTTAATTATCTTATTAATTATACATGTATTATGTATATATTAATAACAATTTGTGCGTAGTTGAGATTTGTTTCAGTTTTTAATATTCTTTTTAATTAATCACCAATCATAGTATTTGATTTTGCTATTTAAAATCATATTAAAATCTTTTTCTTAAAAAATAATTGACTCTGACAAAATGTGGTTGACAAAGTGACTTTTTCCGATAGGTGTAAACTTTGCTTATATAAGCTGGGCTTTGATTGTGACAAATTAATCTGGGCAGAAGCTACTTGTTTGGTGTTAAAAGTTCCATTATGGATACTTCATCGGCATCTCCAAAAGACATCAAGAATGATGACATAATTATCGTAAGTATGCCTCATTAATCCTCATAACTACATGCATGCAACCATAGTATATCTATCTAGATTCGCAGAACACTCCTTTGGGCTTGAAATAAGGAGATCATTGAGTAGCATATGAAATTTTTGCAAGCGCTAGTTTTCTAGATTTGAACCAAGCGGCTGGTCCATGCGGCTTTATCTTTGGTTTCAGCGCCCGAAACATGTTTCACAAGATGTTACTCCCAATTCTAATCTGTTTCTGATTTCAGGAAATTGACACCAAAAATTTTCATCAATACAAACAACTGTCTTCAAAGCCAAAAGGGGCTCAACCATACGCTGAATATAACTTGCTTGTCTATTACCAGCTGTTTATGAAATATTAATTTGGTCAAATAACCTTCCACAATCCACCCATTATTACTTCTGAAAAGCCTTGAGTGGGTCATTAGGGTCAATCTCAGATATAAGCGGGAGATCAACCGGTAACTTTTCCAGACTCAAGCCTTCCTTCTTCAGCTTTGCAACTACTTCCTCAAAAACAATCCTGTTTCCAGTTTGAGCGAGGTGCAATCCATCCCTGCCAATTCCAGTTACAGAAAATCATCACATCTTTGTATATCATGCGTTTAGTTATACCAATATTATGTGCACAAAGTTTAAGGTTTCAACCTCCTCAATGAGAAACTAAACTAGTATTTTCCAATCAACACCAGTTGAGCAACAAGTCAACAACCAAGGCATATGGCCTCAGTTAGCACATGTCAATTACACTCGGTGGTAACTTCACATGCAATAACTATGGTCCAACATATTTGAGAACAAGAATATTAAACAACTAGATAGTCTGTGCACATGGAATCAGTCCATATGCATGCTTCATTTATGCAAACTGTAAATTTGATAAACATAAGAAATACCTTAGATGAGTTTTTTGCCAGTCAGGAAATTGCTGCATTTTGGTCCAGAGATCTATCACAGGGATTCCACATTCTGTGGCAATTTCAACACATGCCTTGGCATAAGCACCAGCTGCCTCATTTGTCCTCTCAGGCAGACCCATTGGATTCTCCACATAAGGATAGCTGCATCAAAATATTTTAAAATTCCCTTTTAATATTGATTTTACATTGATGAGTTGAAGATACATTATCATTTTCCAGTGTATTATTTTCTAGACAATAGTAATAATTTTTTTTTTTTTTTTTTTTTTTTTTTTTAAAAAAGAAAAAAGGCCCCCACTGACATTATGCAAAATATAAGCACCACATAAGGAAAAGATAGATGATAGGAAAAGCATAATGAGAAACATACCTAAGGCGCGCCTCTTCATCGATTGGAGGTGGAGTGATAAGGAGAATGAGGGTTGTTGGCCACTTATTCTGAGCACATCGGAAATAAAATAACAAAACACAGCTAAGAAGCAAATATAAGACAAGAAAAATGTAAATTAAACCAATGGTGAGTTGAGTGGTATGATTAATTGAACTGTGATAGCATGACTCCCAAGCCAAGGAAATTTAATTACGCAAGTGCTAAACTAAATAACATGATTTCTTGGAGAGGCAACTTAGTAGCTAATAATTATGGTCATGTATAAATATAATATAATCATCTCTCCCACTACCAAGAATATTGCTGATTGACAACATTACATTAAGCTCTATCGCATTACCACTATCGCCATTTCCCACCATGCCCAATACAGAATGCAAGTCAACTAGCTACAACATCACTTAATTTTATTGCCACCATCTCCACCTTATCACATTCACAGCTACCAATAATTTTGTCCACTCACTATATCTATTTGTTCCCAGTTTACAACCTACCACGTGCAAGAATCTATATCACCCAACACTGCAATTAAACACTTGCACCACTCTCACCATTTTTAATTAACTGTAGACTTCTTATGTAACCTACCTCTGGAATTCAGGACTGAACTACCAACAAAATTCTTTGGGATCGAACTCAACTCTAGATTGTTCTATTTATTAAGAAAAAAAAAAATATAAACAAAGAAAACGTAAATTTTACTATTAATTACTAAATATTATTAATACGGATATTCAAAATATACAAGCAATCGAGTTGCATTTGGGCACTGACCCAGAAAAAGAAAGGGAGAAAAATCTTTAAAGCTAAGCAAGCATATAGGCGTAAGCTATGTTAAACATAACATAATAAACAACCCAATCAACAAAGCATAGTCGTCATGGAGAACTTTGACCTTCCCTACTCCCAAACACGTAAAATTGTGACTGAACACATCAATGGCCCTGATATGATTACATGTACAAAATCTATGGGTAAAAAGCAATTTAACTAGTAGTTGAGATGTGCTTATCTAAAGTCATAAAAACCTTGGTGGACCACTAGAGGATGGACCCAACTAAACTTATATTAAATTAGACGTAAGAGCCATCACCCATATACCATCTTACTTGAGAAAAAAGGAAAGCTGTTACAATTGGCAAGTCTTCCATAGTTAATACCATCGAGCTAGCCTAAGCCTAAGCCTATCAGAATTAAAGAATAGCCATGTGGTAACCCACCATACTCTTCAATCAATCCTAGCCCCACTCCTTACACCCATTTCTCACGGTATAGTAAACCCACTTTTGTAAATCTAATCAACTACTATATAGCTAAGATCAACTTATTATTTTACATTATATTTCCCTTTCTACTGTATTACGCATTATAGAAAATTTACATTAAATCCAACTGGGTTACAGTTAGACTCCCATGAATTGAGCAAGAACAATTCTAATATTATATTTTATGATGTCTAGACAAAGAAATATAAAAGCCACACGTTTAACATAAGAATGCGTATAGTTTACTAAAGCTTTTTCTTAGTGTGTGTGTGTGTATATATACTCCAAAAGATAATAATCCACGTAATTGCCATTAGACTTTTGTTTTTCTTGATGTATACAACAGACCTTTCTTTCACCTTGATTAAGCTTTGAATAATATTATTAGAAAACCCGTTAATAAAATACAATTAAAAAAGTGAAGAAAATGATAGGAAATTAAGCAAGGTGTCATCTTCATCAATACAGGTAGGCGGCAACAGCCTAATCCTTTATTGTGTCACTGTGGATACGTGAGAGGCTAACCTCTTTCTAATAATCTAATCAATACAGTAATACACCATTAAGATGAAAATGTATCCACAAAAATATGGATAAATAATGTTATCCATACACGTAATACATACATGCAGAGTAGAGTAGAGGGAAGTGACACCTTGAGATACGACATAATAGAATGGAGATTTTGCTTGTATTCATGGACAGGCACGTGTTGAAACGCAGAACATCGATCCGGAATACAAGCGTCATTTGCTCCAAAGAACACCGTAACTGCCACTGGTGCACCCTCACCGCCACCGTCTTTCTCTGCCGAAAAGACACTCTGTATCACCTTTAGAGCCCACCGAGTGTTATACCCACTATACCCTCTTAGCACCACATCAACCTATGATTAAACAAACCAATATCAGAAAACAATTACATGTCCATATTTTAATTCATCTGAATAATTACAATATTAGGTAAGAACAGTTGATACCGTCCGAGAGAAATGGTTGGCAAGCAAGGAACCCCATCCGCCATCAGCAAAGGACTCTTCAGTAATTGAGTCACCAAAAAGATAAATTTTTGGTCTCATCTTTGAGATATGTTTGTAGAGGTTTGCTACAGAAACTGAGGTTTTTATTCCCCTAAACTGAACAAGTCAACCTGTTGTTAGCACTTTACACCACACCATATATAGAATAAACCAAGAAACTAAACTTTATAGCAGTAAGGTTAGTTGTCTCATAAAAGTAAAGCTGTATTACCGAATGCTGGCACACTTAATTGCACGGATGCACCCTAAAGCCAAAAGGCTATTAAGCTGGAGAGAGAATTAACATACAGAGACAGAGACAGAAGGATGACGAAGAAAATGAACAATTTAGTGGGGTTCCGGGTTCCCACTTTTAACTGGTTATGGGGATTCGGTCTCGTTTCCCTAATAAGCCAATGGGTGCAGTTTACTTCTAGTGTGAGTCGGGAGTAGAGTAGCAAATTGCAACAGTCAAGAAGGGGCTAAAATGGGGTATAGAATAGAGTTTGAGAGAAAATAGCGCACAAGGAAAGCACAGCTAGAGACTCATTAGTTTGTAAGGTGACTGTGGAGGCGACTCTACATTAAATTCTCTGTCGCTGAGATAGGCAAGGCTTCTGGTTCTGACTCCCTTAGTGTTCTTCGCCGCAACGTGCAGGGTATCATCGATTGAGTCGCCGCCTTTTTATCTTCTTCAAGAGGTCAAGAGAGGGTTAACATAATTGTGGTGGGCCTGTCACGCTTTGATGTGATATATCAAGCTGATTTGTCTTCTAAATTAACGTTTATACAGAAATAATACAATTTATTTTTAAAATAAATAAAACTAATTTAATATAAGGGGCATATGTTAAACCTTCACAAAATAAATCTATTTACTAAGAGTCTAAGACAATACACTTTAACTATGAACTATTAAAAAACACATTTCTTGCATCCTAAGCAGTTTAGGGTACGTTTGATTTATTATTTTGAATATGATTTTAGAAATAATATTGGATAGTTGAATAAAAGAGTATTACAAGGTAAAATTTAAAAATTTATAAAAAAAACCCTTAGGTTTGCTAATTTAATTAAACACCTCAACATATAAAATGACAAAAACACCCCCATCACCCGCAGTGCCAGATTCCAGCCACCACTGTCGAAATCTGACTGGAAAATTGCGTTACGACACAAACCGGTCAGATTTGTGTCNATATTCAGGGAGTGGATATATCCAATTTTGATGCAAGGATGCAAGACATGACGAAACCCATATATACTGCAATTGTCCAACATGCCAAGAATGGAAAACCTGTGCTTGTATTTGTCCCTTCAAGAAAATATGTGCGACTCACAGCCATTGAATTGAACACCTCAGCATCACTTGTCTCGTCCTCTAAGCAATGACATCCATTTTCTCCCGGATACACTGAAGGGTCGCTTCAGTACAGAGAGCAGCAAGATCTGCTCTCACATAACCATGGGTATCTCTTGCAACTTTTTCAAGATCAACCTAAAACATGCCATCAAATAAGAATGTCACTATACTAAAGAAAAAAGACGTAAAATGATTTATAAAGAAAAAAGATATAAAATGATTTATAAAAGACGATGAGATGAAGTAAATAAGAGTCCTACATCTTCCATGCTTTTAGCAAAAATTTATAATTATATTTTTAATTTAGGGTAAGAGAACGAGAAGTTTTGAATATTTTAAAGCATCCATGACCATGAATAGGATCAAGCTCTGGTTCAGTCTCAGTTTTATCCTTCTCTTTTGTGTGACATGAAGTTAATCATGGTTTAAGAATTGCGTAGCAAGTTGGAGCAACTGGAGACGCTGTTCTCTAGGTTGAGGTCCCTCAAAAATCCTAATGACCTTTGTAAAAAGGTAATTCTATGGAGGCAAGAGTTTAAGATTTTTGGAGAAGTCAGTAGCGATGAAGAGAATAAGGATAAGCTACAGAACTTCAACCAGGATGCAAACGTACTAGACTGGCTGGAGGACTTCAAAAAATTGGCTGATGATGTGTAGTATCTGTAGAAACCAAAATAATGGGCTAATGGACGCTCGTCCAAACGTTTATTTTTTTTTTTTAAGTATGCCCGTCCAAATATAAGAGACGTCCGCCTATAATTTATGGACGGTCGTTCCCAAAGTTTTTTTTTTATTTTCATATTTTATTTATGGACCTTGTATATGGACGCCCATCTATTTAATATGGATGAGCGTCCATGTAAGTGAACGGTTGTCCAAATTTGATGGACGGTTATCCACTAAAAAAAATTATTAAAAAAATTAAAAACGTATTATATGTAAACTGATATATATTTTCGGTGTAAAATTTTTGGTGTCCAGGTCAATGTGACAACTGTTTTTCCGCCTACTGACACTGTCTAGGGGCATGGTGTGAATCATCGTCTAGGGGCATGGTGAGAATACCCTCTTGGACTTGAAGAGAAAATTTATCAAATTTATTTATCAATATAATATTGCTTTTGAACTAATTACAGTTGTCACGGATCACGATACACAAAGTCCTAAACACCAAACAAGGCTGGCTTAATCCTTATTAATCAAATTCAACACCATCATATTAGCATGTAATACTTTACTTGTAATGTCAACGAGAAGATGTCAGCCAGCAAATATATAATCTCTTATTGGACCCACCGCCTAGATGAAGTTGATTTGATCGCTTATTATTTTTATTTTTCCTTTTTTGACAATATACTTAGACACTCTAAATTGCTCTGTGGTGGATGAAGTCACAGCATTCATAACATTTTACCTTTGAGATAAACCAACAAAATCATGGGGGTCCAATCTGTGTCGTGTAATCAAACCAGAGGGAGCTTTCATTTGCTACATTAATATCTTCTCCAAATGAAATAGATCATCGTATTAATTGAGTTAAACAGAATTAATTACTGGATTATACATACTAATGTTACTTTATATTATCTAATAACTATTATCAATTAAATATGATGCAATATGACCCATAAATTCGATACATTATTGAACTTAATACATTTAGGTAATAAATTATAAGCCATACATATTATTAAGTTAGGAAAGATATAATGAATATATAAGTAAACTATTCGTATCTCATATGGGTTTTATAATCACAGGAGCTATAGGTTTTATTATTATAGGAATTGGATCCATAAGCGATATAGATAGTATAGTCTTTATAGAGCAATTTTTACGGCATATTTCGTTCGTGGGTTTATTAGTGCTACAACGTTTTTTTTTTTTTTGGGTAATTGGGGTGTTCAAACCAATTTACACGCATCTTAAATAATCTTTAGGGTCCATTAAATACCCTATAAACCCAATGAACCGGATAAAACATAATTATGTATTAAAATTGGTGACCCTAAGGTTTAAACCCAAAAAGTCATGGAAGGGAGCAGCACTGCAGCTTTTCTTCTAGATTTTCGGTATCTTATGGACGAATTCCCTTGCATTACTTGACATGAGTGGTTTTCGTTGCAGGATTGATAGTATTCTTTTGGTATAATTACTGACCAAAAATACTGTAATGGAAATTGAATTGGACATAAAATTCTCCCTCTAAAGAAAAAGAATATATTATCACTCTATTATTATAAATACATGTATAAAGTAGTATTTAAAAGAAATAGAGAACTAAAGAGTTAAATGGAGAGCTAAAGAAAAATATAGTGTTTTTTTATTTTTTTTTTAAACATTAGTGTGCGAGTTTAAAGAGGATGTACAAGGTATAGGGTTAGGTTATTAGGTTTAGATTTAAATTATAAGCTATTAATTATCTATTTGTTTTAATATGTGAACTAGAGGAAATATATATTTATTCTTTATTGGGTTATTAGGTTTACGAAACTATGTTAAATTGATGTATATTTATTCTTTATTTTCTCTCTTATTCTATTTTGGTTACTAATAACATCGGAGACGGGTTAAAAGAATTCTGATTTCACATAATTATAACTTCAACAACATATCAATTCCCTTTCATCTCTTTAAAAGGAAAAAAGAAAAATTGGCACTATATTTTGAAGAAGCATAAACTTATAACTCATATATAAAGTTTATAAAAAGAAACATTTGTGGTCGAAATGTAAACAGATTGAAGGTATTTGTTATGATATTAGCAAACTAATTTCCATATGAAAGGCCCTTTCCCTTTGTTTGACTAATGGTCGAACTGTAAATAGATTTAGGATGGAGAGACCAAGGGTACTTATTATGATATTAGCAAAGAAATTCCCATATGAGAGGCCCTTTCCTTTTGTTTGACTAATTAAATACACGGCCCTTGTGTCCTATAATCCTTACAAAATCCAATTTTAAAATGGATGCATAAAAGCAATGATCAATGTTTGCTTAGGAATTTGCACATCTTTACTAAGATTATCTTTGATTAAATTGTTTGAATAATATAATTTCTTTTTGCTTTGCAAATGATATCTTTAGAAAGTAAAAAGAAAAGAAGAAACAGCCTTAGATCATTGAGTAGGCAGGATCCCATAGATTCACATCTAATTTGTTCACCTGACAAAAATTCCCCTCTCTTAAGATTCTTAAATATGTCATTTATTTTTTAAAATACTAAATTATTAACATGCGTTAATTGTTGGAATTGTCGACCACTTCAACAATAAGAGGTCACGCAGACGCATTCGAGGGTCCCTTCCCTAGGCTCGTAGGTAGTTTGGACCTATTCCATGAAGAGCTATTGAATGATTTCTTTAAGTAATTAATTTTTAATTGGGTCTGAACTTAGGAAAATAGATTCTTGTAATATTAGGTTTTTTTTTCTTTAAACGTAATATATAAACTTATTATTCTCTTATATGAGTGTGATAGCAAATCATAAAGTAAATATATTCATTGTAATGAGAGAGGTGAGACAGTATTTCTATTATATTGACTCTATTGGACGTCGCTTGTTAATTGGGTAAATCATAGTAAATCGTGCGTATTATTTTTTCTTTTTAATTGTATGTGTTTACTTGTTTGGGTTTTATATTACTCTAGATTGTTTCATTACTTGTATGTGTTTTCTTGCCACATAATTCATAGTTGCACACACAATATTTCGTTGGCATTGCACGCCAACAAAGCCACTTTAGTAGACATTATATTCCATCAATTACTAGGGTTTA